TCCTCTAAGATCCTCCCACTTCTATCAGTCTATAATGATCACAAACTAGTCAGCCACATTTTAATGGTATGTTCCTAGTAGAGCCACAACATACTCCAGCTCCTCTAACTAATATCTCTTTTGCTGAATTTCTTCCTTTAGAGCTTGAAAGTTAGAATATGCACAGAGATGGGGGAAAGGAGCCAAAGCTTTTTAAAATGTGACTCTTTTAAAAATATAATGATGTGCAGCCTATATGCAATCTCCAGTTGTCTGATCTAGGTCCTTTTGTGGAGCTCCTGATGCTGTCTGTGTTCAGAATATGTAAAGTCATTACAGCCAGTATGTCATTTTGAATGAAGGATGGAATGCCTTGTTCAAGCTTTTTGTAGTCCAAATTGTCTTTGTCAACTCCAAATGTAAATGCACATATTATTCCAACGAAAAGTTAACCTGCCCACAACCTGGGGGTGGAGGGAGGAAGAAGTAGAAACACCAAGCTTCATATGCATTCAGTTTTTAAAGAGATGTGAAATGCACAACATGTCAAAGAATAATTGTCATTTTTAACGTAGTTTTGGAAAAAAAATAAAGTGGCAAACTTAAAGCAGAAGGCCTGTATTATACATTTTCTGAAATAAATACCCCCTTGGCATCCTATTCGTTCCTCTAGTAAGGAACTAATAAGTAAGTCTAGGAAACTAATAATGCTGACTCAAAGCCAGCTTGTTCAAGAAAGGAAATTAAAAGGCAGCACATGGAAGAATAAAAGTATTGATGCAATAGAATATATTTTCCTATGTTGGACTCTTTATTAATACTGGAGAGCATGTCTATTAGCTGTTGACACCTTATACTTCATCTTACTATACCAGGGATGGGTTGCCCCAGGTTCGGATCGGTTCACAAGAACCGGTAGTAAAACTGGCGGGAGGCTCCGCCCACTGACCTGGATGTCATCAGGAAGCTCCTGCACATGCACGTGGCCCTGTTGCGAACCGGTAGTAAAGATAAGTAGAACCCACCCCTGTACTATACAATATATACTGTATGATATACCTACACTAGAGTAATAACGTGTCTTTTGGGAATGAAAACATGGATCTTCTTAAATCCACATGGCTCGCTGGCTTCCACAATTTAGCAAACTAGTTCAGCTAATAGCTCTGATATTTTGAGCCTCGTCTTATAACCAAGTATATGTGCTGATGAAAAACTGCTTTAGCAGCAAAGAGACTGCTAATTGTTTGATTATACAGGTCCTCACATTAATGAAGTACAATTCCATGGATTTGGAGCATGGCGTGCAACCAAATTACCACCCCAGCACTCAAGCTGTGAAATCTGATTATTCATTAGCCAGTCAGTGAGTGGTACAAACATTCGCCCCCCCCAAAAAAAACCATCGAATGAAAGTGACTTAAAAAAAAAAAAATCCTCCCAATCTTGTTAATAACCATCTTGGATTTAAAATATGTTTTAATACCAAGCAGTACTAGGTTCCCCAAATATATTGACAACTCCTCAGAATAGGCTTGTGATTCATTCTATGAACTTATTTGAACCACCAAGCCCCATGTCTTTCTATTTGGGGCGGGGGGAAGCCTGGTTAGTTACCTCCTGTGGCCCATTTTACAGCCTGAGAGTCATATATAAGCTCCCCAGACTGACAAGACGAAAAACAGCCATTGACTTTAAACAAAACAAAACACCGAATCAAAAGTAAAGACAGCTCACACTGTGTCTTCTTCCAAAAGACTGACTGGGCCCAAGATAAATCAGTCTCTAAAAGTCATTCAGAGCTTCTTATTTTTTTTCTTTCGTTTTTAATTACTTTATAAATCTTGTTCTTTTAGCTGGAAAAATATCACACGTTCCCTCTTCATCTCGTGTAAATAGTGAGTCATTTTGCTGAGAGGGGCTGGAAACAAAGCACCAATATTTCTCCCCTTCCTTGCATCACTCAGACATATTTCGGTGCCAGTAGAGACAGGCAACTGCAACCTGAGGGAGATTCCCACTCGAGCTGGTCTGTTTATACAATAAATGTATCTGGGATCAGTTACAAAATGAGATGAGGGCAAATCCTTCTTCACATCGAGAAGTGGTACTCCTGACATCTCCAGCAAATGGGATTATCTGTAATGAGATTACACACAAAGAGATTAAGATGGGAACCGATGCTCCTAGGAGATATAAAAGAGGCTCTGGAGACAAGAGAGAAATGAGGTGTCAGAAACAGAAGGTGGAATTGCTTCCTTGAGAAGATTTTTCACGATAATGGTAATGACCGTATTCTTAAAATGATGGCTTTCATCTAGGGAGGAACCTACAAGAGCAACATGTTTTAAATGCATATTTTTTAGTTTTTCTACTGAGGTAGTTTGGCGTGAACTGCAAGGGAGAGTTAGGAGGGGGCATATTAAATAGCATACAGGTAGTCCTCAACTTACAACCATTCATTTAGTGACCACTGAAGTTACAACGGCACTGAAAAAGTGACTTATGACTGTTTTTCGCACTTACAACTGTTGCAGCCTCCCCATGGCCACATGATCAAAATTCAGATGCTTGGCAACTGGCATGTATTTATGACAATTGCCGTGTCCCAAGGTCATGTGATCATTTTTTTGCAGCCTTGTGTCAAGCAAAGTAACAGGGAAGGCAGATTCACTTAACAACGGCTGCAATGATTCACTTTACAACTGTGGCAAGAAAGGTTGTAAAATGGGGCAAAACTCATTTAACCATCTTGCTTAGCAATGGAAATGTTGGGCTTGTGGTCATAAGTTGAGGACTATCTGTATTATGGTGGAATGTTTAAGAGGAACACAGCAAAAATTTTAGTGTATGTGTGTGGAGATGTAACAAGAATGTATATTTTAGTGTGTGTGTGCGGAGATACTATACAGTTTTGAAGAATGTGTATTAACACTAGAAATGAATGAGTAAGAATGACTTACGGTGTATGAACTGATCTCATCCAGAGAAACATTAGGATTTTTAAAGAACCTCTTAAGCGGCAGATGACATTCTGTTAAGTAGATTTTAAAAGGCAATAAATAAACGGCATTGTTTAGGGGACAATAATATTACTGTTCCAGGACCCTCGAAAAAGAAGCATGCAAGCAAATTAGAATTATATATTGTGAACAGATGGAGAAATAGCAGCCTCCAAAATCTGACTATCTGAAATATCATGAATTTCAACAGAAATCATGGGTGACTGTATCAAATAATAGTAGAAAGTAGAATGGAATTTTGGTGTTCTTTACCCAATTCAGAAAGAGCAGAGAAAGAAACTTTTTCAGGTATACACCATGTCTGAATCCTGTACCTCCCAATTGATTTAATTAGAATGACAGCAGCATGGCTGTGATTTGCACCAGGTAGCTGCCAACCATCAGCATCTGAATTACCCATAGTACTTTGCAGTGATGCTACATCAAAGCATTATACAAGGTGTCAGTGATGGACATCTCCCAAGTCCAGCCTTTGGCCAGCTTACTGTATGAAGCTGTTAGTTATTGCTACTGTCGTACAAGCATATTAACCTTACCAGGTGGAACTTACAAAAGCTGTTGATCTTGCAGAGTGGACATTAATTGAAGTGGAACAATTAATTAATCTTGCAGGGTGGGCATTAATTGAAGAGAAACATCTATGGACAACTCCTTATTGGAAAAGGATGATGTATAAGTATTGTTGCTATTGTCTGTAATATACTTTTGAATTCAAAGCCGAGCTTTACCAATCAGAGAATGTTACACAATCCCCTCTAAAAGACCTTTTGGTTTCAAGCTACTAATAAACAGATTCAGGTCACACGGCAGGTCTTTTTTCCAGTTTGGTTTATTTAGTTTCTTAATTTAGTCTTTGAAAATTATCAGCAGTATCATAAACTGCTCTGCAATGAAACAGAAAATTCAGCGTGAATTAGCTTATTTCCATCAAAAGTTAAATTCTCAAATGTTATTATTTGCTTAATAAAAATTTCATATTCCCAAAACAATCCTATTACTTTAACAAAAGGATGAAAAATTGTATTTTGACAATTTCAGCTATCATAGAGAACCATGTCGACGGCATCAATTTATCATCTGTTTCCATGTGTGCATAAGACAATGACAGCTTTCTTGTACTGGTTGAAGACAGGGGAACTCTGAAGAATTGATTTCAAACATCAAGGAGCTGTTCAAAACCACAGAAGCAAATAGTGACATTTGTTGGTGCATTGGTGTATAGTTGTGAAAAGCTGAAGGACTAGGCCACATAGGTGGATAAGCAAGAGGGAGAATTCACAGTGAAAGTATGTTTGTTCGTTATCATGGTTGCATTGACATTGACATGGTTGCATCATGCATTACAGGTTATACGATAATCAGTTAGTTCTCCTTTAAGATCTATAATTCTTGTTTGTTTTTTCGGAAGCAAAGAAACGTGCATGGTAAATATTATTATTATTGTATGTTTATTGTTTATTGTTTTATTAAAGAGTTTTATCAATTACAAACCCCCCAAAAATTCCTGCTCCTAGAAAGTTTTATATTCTTAATTTGTAAAAAAAAACAAACAAACAAACAAACAAAGGAAGACAATATAGAAAGAGAAAGCACAAGAAAACATTGCAAATTCAATTACATGTTTCTTTGGCTTGATTACATTGGGAGTTTCTGCTTTGACCTTCAGAAATGAAATGACTCCTGGAGGAGAATCTCCATAGGTGTATTATGACAAATGTATCTTTCCAGATTAGCTACATCTGGAGTAGAACTCCCAGAAACTATAAATATGATTGGGCCAATTATGAAGCATTCTAGAAATTATATATAGTCATAGATTGAGAGGCATAGGTTCTCCCTTCCTGCCTTAAATCATTGGACTTCTTCATTCAATCACTTTGTATCTAGGTAGCTTCTCTAGGTCCTGGTTTATCTACTTGACCTTCAAGTCTGTTATTATCTCTAAGATTGTCTGAGACTGGAATTCCAACTAAACTGCCAATTTTCTTCTCTTTTCAGAAGATGGATTGTAGACATCATAACAAGCTTGCTCCTTGATGGACTGGAATATATTTGAACAACTTTTGTTCCATCACATGAAATTAGCTAATCAGAGATGGAGGTTTCGCTATCAAAAATAGAAAATCTACACAGCCACCACTATAAAAATACCCCATATTTATTTACAAACCTAGAATACTCAGAATAATATAAGGCAACTGAAGTGGTCATTTAAAGCTACTTCCTCCAAAGGAAGTCATACTGAACTTGGTAAATATATGTAGAATTACATATGAAGCCTGCATTGCAACAATAAAATCATATTGGCTGCTTTCAAGATCAAAGCACAGAATTTAAAACTGTCCTTCAGTTTCCTTCTTCCCTCTTTGATAGTTTGTCTTTGCCAGTGTTTCTCAGTCTTGACAATTTTTAACAGGTTAAAGATGATGAATGAACAACAACCAAATATGAAGACTAGATGGCAAATGTGGCTCTTTTTGCAATATCCTTTAGGGCTCACTAACACAAGAGGGCAAGAATTTGGAGGAGGAACTAAAAATGTCCAGCTTGTTGTGTATACAAAACCAGCCACTGTTGCTTCTTTTGGCCTTTCAGGTTTTATTTTATAATCTCTCCTTAAGAGACAATATTATCAGTTTTTCAGAATTAAAAAAGGGCCTTCTGGTATTTATGATTACTTTACTGAATTCTCTGGCTGGTGAAACCAGAAAGGCCCAAATTCTCTTTTCTTACAGAAAAAATAAATGCCTGTAAATGTTAGTCCCGTTGCAATCCTAAACATCCATATTTACTAGAATGAAAATAAGTCTTTGTTTCAAAGGGGGAGAGAAAATCAATGAAATCTAAACAAAGCAGAAACAATGTCTGCAGACTATATTACCAGATGTTTACCCAGCATTTACTGCTCTGTTTTGTATTTACATCTAAGTGCCTGAATGCTACAATTGCTACATTCTTTGAATAAGCCCACTATTTTCAAAATAACTTTGGTGCTACTTTTCCCAAAATGAAGAACTATATTTCTAGGAAAAATTTCCAGGATAGGTACTATCTAACATTCTCTAATATGGACCAGCCTCAGTATATACTCAGAAATAGCATATTTTCTCCCCGCAACAAGTGAATTTAAATGTGACTAACTTCTTTCTGAACTTGGTTTATTTGGTACGAACATCGTAAATCACCATCTGGAATCTATGCTGCAATATAAAAGTTTCTTATAGAGAAATGGAGATAAAATGGTTTTGGATATAAGACAGATCCATTAATAACAGAATAACAGAGTTGGATGGGACCTTGAAGGTCTTCTAGTCAAACCCCCTGCTCAAGCAGGAAACCCTATACCGTTTCAGACAAATGGTTGTCCAATCTTTATTTATACTTTATTTTAATTATTTTTTTTTAAATGTGTATGCTGCCCTTCCAAACCAGATATTTCCAAAATACTGCATGGAAAACAAGACAAATTTCAGGAAAACTGAGCATTGGAATATAGAAATAGATCAACAAGTTTTGGTTGCATTCAAGACAGGACTCTGGTGCAGGAAAATCTCAGATTAACAGCAACCATCGTGTTACAGTAAGTGGTGTGATTCACGTTATCATTTAAAGAAGGCCAATTCCGTGAGAGGCAATGAACTCTGGCTTCAACCCTATCTACTGTCTGCAGGCAACACCTGACAAATTGTGCCTGAGTTAATGCAGCTCTTAAAAGAGAAAAAGAAAAGGCTTATTTGTCCCTGATTTAGGGATAGAGAAAATTTAAGACATGCAAATGCTTGAAGGAAGGTAGTTTATAACATCTACTGTTGTGAGGAATGTTTGTCAAAAGAAGTGTAAATGGTTATATACTGTACAGGAATGTGTTTCTGCCTATTTTGCTATAGGAAAGTATGAGTTGAGTATGTCAGGACAATATAAATGCAACTTGAACAGTGGTGGGTTGCTACCGGTTCGCCCAGATTCAGGCAAACCGGTAGCAGTGGTGGCGAGAGGCTCCGGCCACCCACCCGGACGTCATCAAATACGATCTGTGACGTAGAAGTGGCACCCGCGCGAACTGGTAGCAAAGGTAGGTGAAACCCACCCCTCAACTTGAGTGCAGTAAGAATTGATTACTTTAAAACCGTGCATGGTAAGACAAGAAGAGATAGGATTGAGAATGAACAGGTGCAGTGGTGGGTTGCTCCCAGTTCGCACCAGTTCGCAAAAACCGGTAGTAAAAATAGTAGTTCCTAGAACTGGTAATAACATTGGTTGGCCACGCCTCCGAACCGGTCCCCAGCCCGGTCCCACCGCTTGTTTACACCGCCCATCTCATCAGAGGCTTTTTTTTTTTTACTTTTAAAAGCATTTTTTCTACAACCTCTTCTGATGAAAAAAAGCTTTTAAAAGTTAAAAAAAAAAAGCCTCTGATGATCACGCGGCTCAGCTGGGAACGTCAGAGGCTTTTCAAAGCATTTTTTCTACAACCTCAGCAACAGCAGGATCAAGAAGATAATGAAGGTCAGCTGGAGGTTTTTAAGAAGAGATTGGACAAGCATTTGTCTGTAATGGTATAAGCCAGAAGATCTTTCCAAGGTCCCTTAAAACTTTGTTATTATTTTTACTGAATTTGTATCTTTTTTTTTTTTTTTTGTATATATAAACACTCTCAACTGGTTATTAACATTTTTTATAAACACTTTTTCCTGTATAAATAAATATAAATATTGAAATGTCAAAGACTTTTAGGACTCGGACTTCTGAAATCAGTAAAAGTCAAGTTATTCCAAATGGCCATTTGGGCCATCTTATACACAACAACTGTGTGACTGTTGTATAATTTATCATGGTATGCTCTACAATTATTACATATTAATCTAATTGATGGGTGTAAGGCTATTATTCTGGCTGTTCAGTTATTTTTGTTTAATGTTTGATTAACCATTTACTGTGGACATTTTATTGCTTTATATTGCTTTATCATATAATGGACATTTCAACTATTTTTTTTTTCTTAGAAGATACCATACAGAAGCCTGAATACATTTGGTGGCATGCAAATTTGAAAACTACACACACACACACACACACACACACACACACAAACACAAACACATACATGTTTTCACAGCATGTTACTTATGACAATATAAAATTTATGTCAATATATAAGAGAAAATTTCCTATATCACATGAATGCTCATAAAACACAACCCCATTGACATATGTGAAATCCTTACTCATAGAAATGACATAGTATAATCCTATATTTATATTTAAAGTGACCGGACAGTTTTCTATTATCTCCTCAAAATCTTCATTATGCAAGCACCCTTAGGTTATTCTCATCATTTCTGGAGCCTGAATTGAAAGTTGTGCCTCAAATGACCAATGATTATGAGAGCATCATATTCCAAATGGAGTCGAAAGACTATGGAAGAAGGAATGAAGAAAAACTTACTCTTATATGAGTATACATAGACTTTCAGATTTACTTATTAACTTTGAGCCCCAGACCATTAAAAGGGAAGAAAGAAAGCCCCCAAAAATTACCTGATATTTGAAGAACCTGAAATTAAGAAAGTTTTAAAGTCACTTGCTGAAACTGTTTTTTATAGGTAGTCCTTGACTTACAACAGTTCATTTAGTGACCATTCAAAGTTACAATGACACTGAAAAAAGTGACTTACGACGTTTTTCAGAGTTACAACCTTTGTAGTATTCCCATGATTATGCGCTAAAAATTCAGATGCTTGGCAATTGGTTCATACTTATGATTTTTACTGGGTCCCAAAGTCATGTGATCACTTTTTGCAACTTTTTGACAAGCAAAGTCAATGGGGAAGCCAGATTCACTTCACAACCAGGTTATTAACTTATCAACTGCAGTGATTCACTTAAGAATTGTGGCAAGAAAGTTCATAAAAATGGGGCAAAACTCACTTAACAAATGTTTCACTGAACAATAGAAATTTTGGGCTCAATTGTGATCATAAGTTGAGGACTACCTGTACTTTGCTATGATTGTTGCTAGGCTTTGTGGTCGATAGTTGCACCCTTATTCCACATTATAAAATGTGCTACAAATGCCACCGAAGATGAATAAATGTGGGGAAGCTATGAGGCTTTTGGTTCCAAGCATCAAAGGATGTTTTAGGGAAAATGTTATTATTATTGTTGTTGTTACCATTATTGTTGTAGAGCATTGTCATGGCAAAATTAATAACTGGTTTTGTTCTAATATAATTGTATCCCATAGAAGTGTGTTAAGGTTCTACCAAGCAATTAGTACACACTTATCAAAGTTGATGTTGAGAGATATGCTGGAATTTCCTGTGAAGATACATTTCATGCTCATTTGAAGATTCCATCTTGAAGAGGGGAAAAAACAAAATCTGAGGATCTCAAAGCAAAGAAGTCAGGAAAATTATTAACACAGCACCAAGATGTTTCGCATATCCTAAATGTTGGTTTAAATACCCTGTTTTCCCAAAAATAAGACCTATACAAAAAAATAAGACCTAGTATGTTTTTACATGTGCACCTAATATAAGCCCTACCGCCAAAATAAGCCCTACTTAAGAACCTACATGGCCAGCCGGCCGGCTGGCCACCCATTCTGTCTGATTGCTTGTGGTGCCCTGGTCAAAGTGAGGTGGGGTGATGATGGAGCAACCCCATGTGCCCCACATCAGCTTATCTCAGGGCCTCCATAGCCAGGCCATCCACACCTTGACACCTGCCTAGCCTCGCGGTGGCAGCATCAGCAGCCATGTGGACCAGGAATCCACATGGCCACCAGTCCACTTCTTCTGCTTGCTCGCGGCCGCCATGGAGCAGGAGGCCAAGCGGTATGCTGGTGCCATGGCCATGAGGTGAGGCAGGTATTGAGGTGTGGATTGCTTGGCTGCAGGGGCCCTGAGGTAACCCAGTGCAGGGCATGTAGGGCATCTCTACCCCCCTAATTCATGGCAGAAGCACTGGCACACCGCATGGCCTCCTGCCCCGCCACGAGCAAGCAGAAGAAGTGGACCTCTGGTACATGGAAAAAATAAGACACCTCCAGAAAATAAGCCCTAGTGTTTATTTTGGGGCCCAAAAGAAAATAAGACCCGGTCTTATTTTTGGGAAAACATGGGTATTTTAATATATATTTTAATACATTTTAAATATTTTAGGGTGGGGAAGAATTTCAGAAAGTTTTAACAATTATTATTTGATATAAATCACTAACAGGTTACATTGTTGCCCTTCTTTTCATCATTTGCTGTTATATTAGGGCAGGACAAATCTCCAACAGAGGTTCATGCAAACCAACCTTAAATTTTACTTTTAAAGTTAAGCTCCTGTTCCA